ACTACAGCCCACTTCTATGCATCCGAAGAAGTGGGCTGTAGTCCACGAAAGCTTATGCTCTAATAAATTTGTTAGTCTCTAAGGTGCCACAAGTACTCCTGTTCTTGATATGGTAGGCATGCTCTAAGCACATCTACTGGATCAGGCATGGTAGGTGGAGGAGCAACTATCTTCCCCTGTTTTTTTGTTTGCAATGGGGCTCAGACATCCAGACACCTAGAGTGAGGCAGCAGTGTGCATGCCCAGAGGCAGGTAGATTCATAGGCATCTAGGAAATCTTTACAGTGAAAACAGGTGTCAAGGGAGTTTAGACGTCTACAGGGCTAGACAGCAGCTCAGCAGGTGTTTTGTAGATCACAGTGGTGCCCAAAATTGGGGCACAGGCACCTAAATCTGGGGTTTAGGCACCTAAATCCCTTTGTGACTCTGGGCCTAAGAAATTAGAACACAGTTGCATTTAATTAGGAACAACTGATTCTTTCAAAGCCAGACTGCAGTGGAGCCATGAGTGCAAGCTATGGGCCACCTGCGGGCTGACTACCCCTGCCTATAATGACAGCACAGGCTATAAAAGCCTCTTTCTAAGAGCCCTCAAACAGTCCCTTTCCTGAGTCTCATCAATAAAGGAGCTGGAAAGGTGCTTTAGCAGAGCTCCTTTATATCCAAGGAAAGAAGGGAGTTAACGGGGGTATATTCATTTTCGTTTCTTTCTGGGGTGTTTATACATGATGGTTGTACTTTTGAAATATTGTTTGCATTGTGTAGCATATCAATACCACACAGACTGAAAGGGTGAGGCAGTTGCCTATACAAGCTCCTTTCCTTACCTTGGCAATTCCAAACAGGCTCTCGTCGACCTCTGAGTTCACGGCCTTGGTTCTGTAACGAGTGCGGGCCCTGGACCTGTTGGATGCACTGGATGAAGCGCTCATTGAGCCAGACATGGTGGCCGGCTGGGGAGCAGTGAGAGAACCCAAGCCCTTGTTAGTGACATCCGCTCCCAGCACGGGGCCAACACAAGACTAGAAGTCAGAGGTTTCAGCCTAGGTGCGGACGTGCCGCTGTCCTTAGAGCGGGACTGGAACAAGGGGGTCGCCCAACATCCACGCACCGTCCAGCCCGGGTACTTCCGCGGGAGCAGTGGGGGCTGGGGGGCCTGGCCCGCGGGCAGGGAGGGTGACACCACCCAGCGGGGGCAGGATACGCGGGCACAGGGAGCGGAGCAGAGCGTGCGGGGGGCGCTGGGCTGAAGGCTCCGCCTGGGCGAGCCCCGGGGTCCGGGCAGGGACCATCCCGCGGACGTCGGCTGGGCTCGGGCTGCGGGGCGAACCCGCCACCGGGGAAGAGGCAGGACAAGCCCTGAGGCCTGCGAGGCCCGGGGCGCTAAGCGCGGCCCGTCGTTAGCGGTCAAAGGAAAGGTCCCAGCGCGCTGCGGGAGGAGCCGGCCGGGATGGCGGGACCCACGGGGGCTGGGCCGGGGTCTCACCATTATTCCCCGTGGCCGCCCCTCTTCCGGCTCCGCGCAGGCACTTCCCCTGGCTGTTGACTGGTCGCCATGGCAACCGCAGAGCCCCGCGGCCTCTCTTAGGCAACCGGAGTCACGGGGTGGAACGTTACGGGTCAACCGGAAGTGACCAACCCAACCCCTCTGCCCCCTCCTTCCCCCTGCTGAAGGGAGGCTGCTTCCGCCTCTATCCGGGGGGGCGAGGGCTGCACTTTAGCGAGACCGGTACCATAGAGGCGTCGGAGGAGCTGACGCTAGAACGGCCCGCTTGGGGGCGCGCTGGGCAGAGGGAGCGCCTGGCGAATCTGGGGCTGGGGCGGTGAGGCCAGGCCAGGCGGGGTGGGAGTCGAGGCCGTGCCGCAGGGTGTGGCGGGGCCCCATGCCCCGCGCCCGTCGGGAGGCGGCCAGTCCCTGCCCTGTGCCCAGCGCTGCCCAGGGCAGGGGGCTGGAACGATCTCTATAGTGGGGGCTGGGAGCCATTGAACCAAACTAACCCTGGATATGATGGAAACCACTTCAAACCAGAGTTCGGCAGCGCCCCTCCCCCATGTTCCCGCACCCGGCCTGAGCCCTGCCTAGTGCTCCCCGGTGCTCCCCGCAGCCTTTGGCCTGAGTGCAAGCGGCACTGGGGGTGTCTGTGGGCTCGGCTCCTCTCCTCGGGGCAGAGCAGACTGGGGCCGCCCCTGGCTATAGCCCTACGCACTTTGCAGTGCCCTGGCTGGCCCGTGGGTGCTGGGCCAGCCCCTCTCTGCGCCTCACTGCTGCCCCAAGAGCTCCACAGCTGGATAACTTCCCTCCTGTTGCCTTGAGACCTTTGAATTCCTCCCGCAACTTTTCCCTGGCTCCATCCAAGCCCTTACACACCCTCCTGGGGTGATCGCTTGTTTCTCCCGCCCAGGGAGCGCACATTAGCCATCCTTGGGTCTAGTTATTCCTAAAAGATCTTTGCTTAAACCACCCTGGCCAGTTAGTAACCTGAACCAAAGCACATGGCTTTTCCTAACCAGGCCATGAAGTATTTTGTTATCCTCAATTCTAGGGCGCAATTCAGAAAAGCTGATTCCTCTTTTTTCCTTAACCCGAATCTGATTTTTTTCCATTCCTCTTTTCCATTTTTCTGTAAGAGACTTTTGAATTTCTGTTCATTCCCGGGTATTTCTACGTCAGTCTTTCCATTTTTACAGCATTTTAGCAGCTTTGTCTGCCATTTCGTTCCCTGTTATCCCAGTATGTGCTGGGATCCAAGCTAATGCTATGTGTATCCGTCTCTGTACTAATGCTGTTATTAGGAATATAATTTCTTTGATAAATAACTTCTACATGCTGAGACACATTTTTTATCACCCTAAAGCCTGAGATTGAGTCCCAGAAAATGACTACCACTGCTGGATCTGCAGTCCAATTTCAGTGTAGTGCTAGGATTTATTGCTACTAGTTTGGCTTTTAAGACCGCTATATAATCAGATATTCTTTTAAATGTACTAATTCCAAATTTTTGCATACAATATACTATTCTGACTCGTCCTGTTTTTTTGAACCCATCTGTATATTTTTGGTAAAACCAACTCCAATTTTCATATATATAGTGGTACACTTCATTTTTAATATCTACTGTCTCTTTTTTTACTCTTAAGTTTATAAAAATAAATCTAAAGCCATATTTGGACATTTGACTTTCCATTCATGACTACTCTGATCATGACTGAGAGTTTGTCATGGAGTCCCCGGGCGATGCTCCGGAACTGCTTCCTACGAAGCCAGTCAGGATTCTGGTGAAGTCTCCTCTCTGTGAGCAGACTGTCTCCAGGGCAAGAAGCTCACACAGCTTCCACCTTCCTGGGTCTGACCTTGGAGCATTCAGCATCCTCTGCCTCTCCGTGCGCTTCCCACAGCGAGTCTGCCCAGGCGGGGTCCTGGGGAAGCCAGAGGGTCCTGCACCCCAACTTTGCAGTCAGACTTGACTCTTAGCCAGCCAGTAAAACAGAGGTTTATTAGATGATAGGAACATGGTCTAAAACAGAGCTTGTAGGTACAGAGAACAGGACCCCTCAGCTGGGTCCATTTTGGGGGGCGGTGAGCCAGACACCCACATCTGCACTCACTCCATGTCCCCAGCCAGCTCCAAACTGAAACTCTCCAGCCCCTCCTCTCCCTTTGTCCCTTTCCTGGGCCAGGAAGTCACCTGATCCCTTTGTTCTCCTACACCTTCAGCTGGCACCTTTGTAGAGGAGGGGCCCAGGTCATTAGTTGCCAGGAGACAGAGTGTCGGCCATTTTCTGTCCAGACAGCATCACATCTGCCCTCTAGGGCTCTACAACAATCACACCCCCTTTTCCCACCACTTAGATACTTAAGAACTGCATAGGGGAAATTGAGGCACCCACACAGTATTCAGAGAAAACATTAAGAACAGTCCCACTTAGTCACAGAGTTCATTTAGTTTTTCCCTGTGTTTCTGCATCCATACTTTAACTTGAACAACATGTGGAGTTCTAACACTGTAACATAGAATCATAGAAGATTAGGGTTGGAAGAGACCTCAGGAGGTCAAAACACAAGATTGGCTATACTGGGTCAGACCAGTTGTCCATCTAACCCAGTATCCTGTCTACTGACGGTGGCTGGTGCTAGATGCTTCAGAGGGAGTAAACAGCTCAGGGCAATTACCAAGTGAACCCATCCCCTGTTGTCCTGTCCCAGCTTTTGGCAGTCAGAGGTTTAGGACACCAGAGTAGAGTGTTGCATCCCTGACCATCTTGGCTAACAGCCATTGGTGGATCTATCCTCCATGAACTTATCTAACTTTTTTTTTTAACCCAGTTATACTTTTGGCCTTTACAACATCCCCTGGCTGGCAATGAGTTCCACAGGTTGACTGCGTTTTGTGAAGAAGTACTTCCTTACGTTTGTTTTAAACCATTTCATTGGGTGACCCCTGGTTCCTGTGTTATGTGAGGGGGTAAATAATACTTCCTTATTCACTTTCTCCACACCATTCAAGTCATCTCTTTTCTAAACTGAACACACTGTCTTTTTAATCTCTCCTCCTGTGGAAACTGTTCCATACCCCTAATTATTTTTGTTGCCCTTCTCTCTAGTTTTTCCAGTTCTAATATATCTTTTTGGAAACGGGGCGACCAGAACTGCATGCAGTACTCAAGGTGTGACAGTACCAAGGATTTATATAGTGGCATTATTATAGTTACCATCTTATTATCTATCCCTTTCCTAATGGTTCCTGTCATTGTTAGCTTTTTTGACTTCCACTGCACACTGAGCAGATGTTTTCAGAGAACTATCCACGATGACTCCAAGATCTTTCTTGAGTGGTAACAGCTAACTTAGACCCCATTATTTTGTATGTATAGTTTGGATTATGTTTTCCAATATGCATTACTTTGCACTTATTAACACTGAATGTCATCTGCATGTTGTTGCCCAGTAACCCAGTTTTGTGAGATCTCTTTGTAACTGTTTGCAGTAAGTTTTGGACTTAACTATCTTGAGTAATTTTGTATCATCTGCAAACTTTGCCACCTCACTGTTTACCCCTCTTCTGGATCATTTATGAATATGTTGAACAGCATTGGCCCCAGTACAGATCCTTGTGGGGGCCCCACTATTTACCTTTCTTCACTGTGAAAACCACCATTTACTCCTACCCTTTATTTCCTATCTTTTAAGCAGTCAGTGGTCCATGAGAGGACCTTCTCTTATCCCATGACTGCTTACTTTGTTTAAGAGCCTTTGTGGAGGGAGCTTGTCAAAGGCTTTGTGAAAGTCTATGTACAGTATATCCACTGGATCGCCCTGGTTCGCATTCTTTCTGACACTCTCAAAGAATTCTAATAGATTGGTGAGGTGTGATTTCCCATTACAAAAGCCATATTGACTCTTCCCCAACATATTGTGGTGATCTGTGCATCTTATAATTCTGGCTGAAACTATAGTAAAGTACAATCTGCCTGGTACTGAAGTTAGGCTTATGGGCTTGTAATTGCCAGGATCTCCTCTGGAATCTTTTCTAATACTTGGCATTGCATTAGCTATCCTCCAGTCATCTGGTACAGAAGCTGATTTAAGTGATAGGTTACATGGTAGTTCTGCAATTTCATATTTGAGTTCCTTCAGAACTCCTGGGTGAATATCATCTTGTCCTGGTGACTTGTTAGCTTGTAGCTTCTCTGCAACAGCCTTGTCTTCCTTTGAGTGCACCTTTAGCATCTTGTACATCCCATGGCACCACTGATTGTTTGGCAGGCTTCCTGCTTCTGATGTACTTTAAATTTTTTTTTTTTTTTTTTTTTTGCTGTCAGTTTTTGTGTCTTTTGCCTATGAAATTCCTCACAATCCTGATATATTTGTTTGATACTGACATTGCAATTCCCATTATTTCTGGTAGTTT